CCAAGAAACCGCAATTATTATTATATTACCGTCTAAACCGAAAACTTGTCTCATTATCGACCCATACATACATGTGTGTGTGTGTATTTAATTTTTGTTGTTAACGTTTAAAGATGTAATTAAATAGTATCATTGCATATTATAGGTGTAGTTTGCGTTACGTAAATTATTATTTCACATCAATTATAAATACGCACAATCCACAGATCAGTTAAAATTTTTATTTTTAAAGGTATATATTACTATGCATGGACTGTTATGCATTCCTTTGTTTAAAAAAAAAACGAATTTAATAACTCTCACCGTGATTTTTTACAATGTGTAATTGGATTTTTAACAGTTAAAATAATATCATAAATGATAATAACAGCTGTGAGCTGATCATACGCTAGGTAATCGACAAAATAAATAATAAATTGGTAAAGCAAATGGCCAATAAATTAAATATAATACAATATAAAGTTTAAAAATTATTGCTATACCAGAGATTTGCAGGCTGCACTGTACAAAATAGTAAACACAACATAGCTACGTGCAAAACAAATTAAAAATATTAGGTCGTCAGACAACCAAGATGTTAATTTGTTTTGCATTGCCACAAGTGACATTCCGTATATCATAAAATGCTTAACGTCCCTATTAAATAAAGTTTAACATTATATAATACTTATAAGATGTGTTTTAATAGGCACAGAGTTCATTCATGACGTTCCAATAGCATACGTATTAAAAATGATAATCAAACATTACATAATTACCAATCAAAAATCAAATTATACTTTTAAAAGAAAAATTAAAAGAAACCAAAAAACTAATTTGGCATTTATTATACCTTATATTTTTTAACTCTTTAATTTTAAACAAAATGGCTGGATGAAATCTAAACTTGTATGGAGGAATATAATATCATTTCGGTACCTCTATTACTTTTAAATAAAAATGTATTAATGATTCTACCACAGAATAAATAATAGTTTATATATTTTGACGCAATTTTAGGACTAAAAGGTAAGTACAGTGTACAATATAAATATATACAGGGTGACCAACTTATCGTGAACTACTCAATATCTCACTGGGTTTAATTAATAATGTAATTTTTTTTCCATAATGTCTTTCTACATTGTGATCTTATTTTCTCACTACTATTTTTGTTCTTACCCCTCTCCCAACAAAATAATTTAAATTAAAAATAATACCATGAAGCTTTTATAATTTAACCGGTAAATTAATTGACATGGTCGAATTTTATTAAAACCACTTTTTTCTTAAATATTGCCTATAGAAAACTGCTTAAAAACCAACCGCATGCAATCCCCTTAAACCCAGTGAGATATTTAATGGTTCACGATAAGTTGATCATTTTGTATAAGTATTAAGGTGGTCCTTAAAAAGTCGATTTTAGAATTTTTACCTCGACGTCCCCTAAAATGTTTCTAAATACAATAAAAATAAGATCAAAAATAAAAATTTAAAGGAAAACTCTATAAATATTACTAAAAACAACATAATGGAAATTACTGTTATGACTTGATAATTCCAAATGTTAAACTACTTAAATAAGTGTGCTACACAAATATATAATGACTACTAACTGAATACTTTTGAAAATACCAACTGCATCAGTAGGTAATACTGAAAATATTGTTATTTTACCACACCGATCAATTCAGCCAAAATACTGATATTAAAAAAAAAATGGCATCAGTCTTAATCCATTTATGCACTGTGCATACCGTATAACAATTGTTTACTAACTTTAAAAATGTCTTTAAAAAAAGACTGAACGTCTATTTGTGCCGAACATGCCTGTCCAATTATTTACAATTAAGACTGTTTTATTAATAACGGAAGTTACATTTAAAAGATGGAAATAAATGTAAGTACATCTCCATTGGCAGTGCAACTAGTACGTGTAATTTCTTTATTACAATATCATGTAGTTTAACACGTTAAATAATTTTTAAATTAACGTTACGTTGCCCTAACGATTGTTGAATAGTTTTATTGAACGCCTGTTTGTGTCATAGTCGTTATAACTAATCAGAAAAAGTAGGGGTGGAGATGGAAATATTGTATAAATTTAAGTTACCAATGATTACATTCAAATGAGTTTGACAATTCAACTTCCCGCTATAGTATCAATACAGACTAATAAGCAGTGATTTGAACCTCCCAAAATGCATGTTTCCTAATATATCACTTCAAAGTTCAAACTATGCTCTATTAGACTCGCTTAACACAACACCTATATCAATTAATTACGAATGAATTAATATCAAAAAATCAGAAGGAAATCGTGAAAAACTCATTTTCACTTTCACCAGAGAAATTGAAAACCAATATCAAACTATATACGTAAAAGTATAACCGAAGAAAAAATTAATACGTATACAAATATACCAAATGTGTGTACCTCAACAGCTTAAAGGATAACACCACTAGAGTCTAGAAGCAAAAACTAGCCGCATCAAACCATCCAAAATACATTCTTATCCTCGACGACTCTCTAAGTGATCTAAAAACCATAAGCAACACATGACGACGAGGTATCCTTTCTGATTCAAAACATAATCCTTAATTTTATACAAACTATAAAATTTACATGGATACCACCACATACGGAAATAAAAGGAAAAAACCGATAAAGCCACCAAAGAAGCAGTCAACTCAAACGAAACCGCTCAAATAAATTGCGTCAATTATTGACCTTACCACCAAAAACGACAATTTAAATATAAATGCTATGATTTGACATTGAAACTCACTAACGGACAACAAACTTCGAAATATAGCAGACAATATTATCGTTGCCTACTTTCCATCAGAATGTTACAGACAGAAACAAACTGTGTCAGTCGAATTCTAATCACATCATCACCGACTGCCCAGAATACGCATCGGCCTAGGTAGAACATGGCATTAAAAGAAGGCGACGTAAATAAATTATAAAATAATACCGTTTTTAAATTGTATCAAACTGTACACATTAATATAACATAACATGTACGTAGTATAGAAATTAAGAGTTTAGTAATAGCCAAATAATTGTATATACTATGCGGTTAATACTTGGTTCCTTCTTGCGAAGCCTTAACTTGATAAACGAGAAAATGAAAAATTCACTGCACATTATTGATCGTAGGCGGTCGGCGATCACACGCGCTGCAGTCTTATCCGTTCCGTATACCGGTCAATTAGTTGACCATTAAAATTAATTCATGGGTTTTGTTGTCCGTTTACAGAGCAGCAATAATTTTCTACACGTAACGGGATGCCACCGCGGTTTACACGCATATTGTACAGTGTAATGATAAAAAACAATTTATTATTATTATAATGTGGGCTCTTCTCTGCCTGTTCTGCTGATCGGCTAAATGGAAGTTTTTCATTAACCTCCGAGACCCTTGGTGGCAATAGCGGTGGCGGCGGCCGTGTAATATTCACAGTGGAGACCCCACCGGATGGCCGTGCAATGTGCAATTGGTCTGTGTTTCCGATTGACCATACAGTCAACTATTAACTATAAAAAAAATAATTATTATCAACTGACTGCTAATTGACATAGTGATCTAATAGCTGCCGTCCTTGGCGATTTTTCTTTTCTTCTCCGTTTACATGCATATTAACATTAGTACAAACGATGAATATACATCAAATTCACATAAAAGTAATAGCGTTTTCTCCTCTTTAATTAAAATATTTACAATAAATAAAATATTGCAACTATTATTATTAGTCGTCTATCTCTATGGCATTACCTTATTCCTAATTGGACTAATTAAAATTTTAAAAATGAACTGAAAAACTCCGAATTTTTTAAATAACCCATATTATATTGGCTCATTTTAAATTTATACACCAGGTATATCCAAATTTTAATTTAAACAAAACTCATTGTTTTTTTTAGTTCTTAATATAATAATATAAGATAATACAAAATAATTATAATAGTTTAATCTTTGGAAAGTGTTAAATAACATTTTTGTTAAATTTGTTTTATGATGAAAATATGTTAAATGATGCATCTTTAATCGTTTAAAATAAGTTTAATTTTAATTTCATTAAAAACGGCATTTAGTATGACATAATTAGCAGTTACATTCAGTTTTACATTTTTTTTCCTGTAATTTATTAACGAATCTTATGCAATTTATTTATGGAGTTACCCTTCCCATACTATAATCAACAAAATACTTGATAATACATTTTTTTTTAAAAGTATATTGTATTGAGTTCAATATTTTGTGTTTTTTGATCTGAGAAAGCAATTATAGTTTGGCAAGTAATTAACAAGTATATATTTATTTAAAGTTAAATTTATTTCAGTGAATAACATTTCGTTTTTCAAAAGTTGGAAAGTTTGAATTTTGTTCATGGCACTTTTTATAAATAAATTAATTTTGATAGTAAAATATGTAATAGACACATAAGTAGATATTAAATAAATATCGCTGCTCTACTGTCAAAAAAAAAAATATAATTTTAATTGTTATGGTTATGACCAGATTATAAGACACAAATTTGGGAATTTGGGGCAATTTTTGACGAAATTCCATCAATGCAGCATTTTTTGCCAATGTAAAACGATTAAGCATATTACATAGCTGTTTTACAGCTATTGTTGTCAGCATACGCCCGTTATACAGTGTTATCGGTCCAGACCAGTGTAACTGGGTGCAAAGTGCCTAAATGATCTATACGATTTTTGTTTGTAGGTAGGTAGGAATCGGGCGATTAGATTAGAGTACGAGACGGGTATGCGCACGTTGAATTGGAATTGTACGTTTGTGTAACAAGAGCGAGTCTGTGTGAAATATTTAGATGGGGACAAAATATTGAACTTTGTGCACAATAAAGGCGATGACGAATAATGACGCCGTTGTATATAAATTACGAGCCCTACACACACACACACACTTGAACAGTTTAAATTATCATAATCTCTTAACAATCCTTAATTGGACGGAACTGTTTAGAGCCGACAGAGGCGACACGAAATTATTATACAGCATTGGCATACGATCTCGCGTACCCGTCGTACACACATTACTGTGGTGGTCCCTTAAAATTGTTGGTTATTATTTATTTACTTTACTCGAGTGATCGAGCGCTCAAACTAAGCGATTCGTGTGATTGTTTTTTTCTTTGTGGTCATTAATTTTACTTGAGCAAAGACGGTAGAGTACAAAAAGTAGCCCTTAATATACACAATGCTGCGCGAAATTATGCTGTTGTGTTTGTGCTACGGTTTGTTGGACCGCACGTCCGCCGAAGAGTCAACCGCGGGTTCCTTTCCTTCGGTGTACGAACACTGTGGCAATTTACAAGTACAAGAGCACATCCAATTGAGAATGGTAAGTACACTGTACAGGTAACATAAATATAGTGAGGTCGACCATGGAAAAAAAAAAATTTTAAAACAAATAACCGGCTCTAAAATTAACTAAACAAGATTACTATTCAAAGATACGATAAACTACAATGCAATGTAATATTATGCAAAATAAAAATTATGAGAAATCATATACGAAAAGTATTATATAAAGTTAAAATAACCGTGTTGGCTTTTTCAGTATTTCACAAAATTAAATTAAATTTCAAAGTATTTATAAGTATTTATAGTAACACTTTAAGACTTTTTAAGATATCAGCGGGTTTTCAACTTTTAAATTAATCAGTTACGATGAATAGATGTTTTGATAACGACAAAGTTCCAAAAAAAAATGTCGATTTTACACTGTCGTCGCCAAAAATGCGCAATTAATAAACAATTATTACTGGCAATTGCTTGGCGGATTCGAAAATACCAAATACTACTTTAGTTATTAATACTTGAACATTTTAAACGTTCATATTGTATTTTACTTACACATTTTTGTAAATTTGATCTTTTTTTTGTAACAAAAACCAAATACATTTTTTTTAAATGTTTATACTTTAGACTTTAATGAAAATTATTGTTGCCAACATGATTTGATTTTTCCCTATCATAATTCATTAACTACCATTATACTATTTCATTTAGATTGCTGGCACATGGTATGTAATCGAAATTTTACAACACAAGACGGACGTTAAGTTATACAGAGGCGACACGATAGACATGGAGTCGTGTCCCCACGTGTACATGGAGTTCGATGGACTGGCCACTGAACTAAAAATGTTTTGGTATGAAGAAGCAGTCGACGTAGAATATACATTTAAAATATATGACAGAATGGCATCTCCCGGTTACTGGGTATCTGCCGGAGCCCAAAACGGTAAAAAATAATTATTTTATAATTAAACATAGCGATTTAAAGAAGTACAAAATACTAGACAAATATTGTATATACAATTAAAAAAACGTATGAGAGAGCGCCAAGAAAGGTGTTTTGGACAGTACTGGTAAAAACAGTTCCCCAAGAATGTATGTAAAAAATAATAAATGTTTGTGTGAAGGAACGAATATGAGTATAAAGAGTGTATGTGATGGAACAGAAGAATTTTCAGTGATTTAGAGTTTAACAAGGGTCAACATTAAGCCCATTTTCTTTTTTTACTTAGTAATTGGACTTAAACGAGTTAAGAAATATTGACTGATAGGGATTTGTGAAAAGAGATGATTTATATGTTATGTATGTAGTATGATATATGTTTTATATCGTAATACTATCTTATATAACATAACATTATATGAAAAACTTTAAATGTTTAAAATGTCTATGTTTTGCTTCATTCTATTACTAAGGTACACAATTACCTATTGAAATATTTCCAATTATTACTATAAGATATTAAAAAAACAGCGTAAAACTTAACATTTTGAACAACTGCCGTTTACTCTTTGTTTATATGAACCAAACTGCCGAATTAACTAGATAAATCCGTCTTAACGCATTGACGACTCCACTAAAACGTGGTTGTAGTTATGTTGATTTTTGACCACCCAGACTCAGCATAATTTATTATTAATCTATATTGTTGATTGTCAAAAACGGGTTTTAAAATGTTATTTAACGCAATAATATCATTAAAAATTATGATCAATGTGACTTTTATACGATTATCTATATGAACTACAATAGGTGCCTATAACATTTGTATTATTCAAGTTTTTTGATATAAAGATATCTAGAGATGGGCGAAAACTAGGTACCTATAAAATACAAAATAGCATGATGACACATACCTGAGTAGGTACAAACTACAAAATACACAATACCCAACTATTTAAATAAAAATTATAAAATACGTATACAATACAAAAAAAAATTTAAGTAAATTTCTTCAAACTAAATTGTTTTTATTATATTCCAAATATTTTACTCTTAACGGTAAACCCGAATGAATTTCAAACTGCACATATAACTTATCTACATAATTTTGATGTATATAATATTTTCAGTGTCTCTAAAAGAAAACGGAAAATACAACCAGTTTGCAGGGTCGGTCCACGTCAGGAAAGCAGTTAGCGACCACTTGGTTTTGACCTTTTGTTCGCCCAACAGTGAACTGTACAGTGTGATCTTGGCCAGAGAAAAATGGCTGCACATCAACGACCTGAGAAGTATTACAAACCAAATGAACAGACTTAAGCTGCCAATCACACAGACAAAGAGAGCTTGCCGCAACTCCTCTTCGACAATTCAAAGTGCATTCTGGCTAATGGCGGCTTTTGGTTTAGGTCATTTCCTCATTAACCGCTTCAAACAACTCGTCTGAATTTTTTTCTTTAATTTTACAACAACAATAAAAATAGTTTGTCAGTTATTTTTCTTATGATATAAAAAGTCTTCATATCCTACTTAACGATAACATAAAACTCTTAGGTTTATAATATTGTCGACTGCAACCTATGTTTTGGTTTAAACATGAGCAATAATCGAATAATTCAATAAAAATAATCGAAAAAGGATAACTTTATGTGCTTGTCCATTATTCAAGGCTTTTTTCTTAACCTTCTATCAGTCGCACGGTTTCCAGCCACTCTTAAATTAAGTGTATTTTTCACGTGAGTCACACAAACTACATAATGTGACTGGTGTAGTGTGTACACTTTTACCTCAATTAAAGATTAAACCACCCAAGTATTCTTGGTAGCCTGCCGGGTCTTCAGTATTCTTTAGAAGAAATTTAAGTACATTTTGATGAGGAAAAAATTAATTTCAACAATATTTCGTGTTCTACAATCAAAAACCACCTAGAAAAACAATGTCGCTTACTTTTTTTGGCCTAGTATCATCAAAATGAACCGTTCACGTATGTCATTTTTACACGAGTATAACTTCTTATGTTTCCATTTCTTTGAACGGCCAATGCAGACAAGCAAATATCGTTACCTATCTTTAAGAATATGCGATTATGTTTTATTACCAACCCAGCAATAATACATAATTATTTTTGGAAAAGCTTTTGTTTTTTAATTTCCCCTTACCAAAACAACAAATTTTCTCTTAAACAATTTAGATTTTAAGTACCTACCTAACTGATTTATTTTTTTCGAATATAATTTTATTGTATACCTATGTATGTATAGAGAACAAAATATATACTTTTGCTTAATTTTCTAGATCTCTGTAATTTTTAAATAGCAATAACGCTATATCGCATAATATGCAATTATTGTTCATACTCAAAATAGTTTTACGTTAGAACGATGGCGTGATTTTCGCATGTTCGTTTTAAAAAAAATGTCTTATCTTTTTAAATGTATAAAACAATGATTAAGCCTAAGGAAAAAATCAAAATGTGTATTGTATTATAATAATATATTATTGTTTGTGTGTTTTGAAACAAACCTACTTTATAAAATCATAAATCTATTTTTGCAAATATACTTATAATTTCTTTAATAACACTTATGTGTAAATGGCTGCAATGGTTTCTCGTGATCAAATCAAAACTTACATAAATTTATGTACGCTAAATAAATATAGCAGGTAAAATTCGTTTTAATTAGGTACATCTTCAAAATTAATTTTAGAATTTTTTTGCTACACATGTATGAAAATGGCCTAATCCTAATTATTAAAATAATTTATTTTAGTTCTCGTTAAAAAATATTGTTATATTGTAATTATTGACATTAGACCCATTATTTACCTTCAAATTCATCTACAGCAAAACGTCAAGGTATCTACAGTTAGATCTAAAATAATTTGTAACACAAAAATATCTACCTACTCGTATGATGTAGGATCTTAAAATGCGCGTAAAGACGATATTTCAAAAAATACTTCAATTAACTTTAATGGTAAGATCTAGTTGATATTTTATAGACATTTAGTAAGTATACTACTATTATAAACGGTAAAACAAAAAATAAATTCCCCTTTCAAAAATAAGAAAATTGACGGTTTTTTGTGTTTAGGTCTGAAATTTGCACTTGTGGTATAACTTATTTAAACATAATATTATGTACAATAGTATTTAGGATATTTGGAATTATTAGGTCCCCTTTCCTTTGCAAGACTCTAGGCAACTGGGTAAAATATATATAATTAAATAACGAATAACAATTGAAAACATTTCAACAACAAATTTCTTGAAATTAAAAGATCAATTTTTTTTCTAATAACTTGTTTTTGATAGTTATGAGATAAATTCTTTTACATCTCCGCCATACACTTCCAACTACATGGGGTCATCCATAGTAATCAGATAAAATTATTCGAAATGTATAAGTTCCTAGAAATAAAAGTTCCATAACAACAATCATTTAAAAGTTATCAGAAATAAAATTCCTGTTCGAATTTGCATTTTCTTATAATTAAGATAATTGTTTACCAAAATCTAGGCATTTAAATAATAAATTATTTTAAACAGTTCATTATTTATAATTTCAAATCATCTTTTATATAAATACATTTTTATTTGACTATTTTAAATAATTTTTAAAATAAAAATCGTTTTTATTTGTATTTAAATACAAAACTGTTTTAAGTATTATTAAATTTAAAATGTGTCTAAATTGATTTTAACCTTTTTTTTTACATATTTGTTTAAGTAAAAATAGAATTGTATTTATTATTCGAGTTCATATTTAAATAAAAAAACATTCGAACAGAAAGTTAATACAAAAATAAATTATTTGAATAAAAAAATAATTTGAAGAATTCGAGTTTAATTAAATGTTTACCTAACATCTTTTTAAGTGCTTTTATTGTTATAATATATCTAATTATTAACCAATAGGAAATGGTGAAATTTAAAATTTCTAAGTTACAATTTAAATTTATCGAATAACATTGTTAGAGATTTATTTGTATAATTTATAATATTTTTAATAGCGAATAGGCAATATTTTAATTGAATAATTCATTAAAATAACACACAACTCTAAAACTCGACTGTACAATAGTTAGGTGCATACAATTAGTATAATTCATATTACAAAATCAGTTTGTGAAAATAATCATTTCTATATATTTTTTTTATAATTTACAAAATTAACTATACCAATCAAAAACAATTTACAGTTATAATATATTATTAAATAATGTTATACTGATTAATAATGAGCTTGGCGAGCTCGGTAGGTACTTAGTCTTTGTATTGCCTGACCAGGGGTGGTACGACAATGGCGATGAGATAACTGATTAACGCCCATATGGGCACGAACACGTAGTGCATGGGCAAATTGAGATGCGGGTTTTCTAGTTTGTAGCATAACGTTTTAATGGCGATGATTTTCATCAGGCAAATGACGAATATTATGCATCTCCTGCTGCCGCAGAACACAGGCATTTCCGTCATGGACTGACAGGATTTGCTGCTCACGCACGAGCACATTATGAACAGGGCGGTGAGCAGGTCATCCAGCCAGATGGGCATGAATATCAGATACCAGTTCTGTTTGGTTCTGGTCTGGAGCTGAATGGTTAGCAGCACCAGAAAAATCACCATGGAAGCCCAAGTGGTTAACGCCCTCTGAGTCAACGCCATTCTAAAAAACAAATAAACAAACATAACTGTCGTAACTGTTAATGTACAAATAAATGTCAGCGTTTTTTAACAAAAATAGAGCGACCTTCCCATTCGAGTAAACATTCTACATTGTTTCTAGACAATTAACACTTAATTTTACAAGGGCAACTTTTAAATATTAAAAAAATAAGAAACAAAAATAATCACACTTATTTAGTTGGTCGTGAAAAATTATGTTTAAACGTAGGTATGTATCTTAAAGTATACGCTGTCAAGTTTAGGGTAATAGGTCAAAAAATCCGACCATACTATAAAAAAAAATTAACTTTTTTTAAAATATCAATATTTTATAATAACGACGTTTTGGGACGAAATTTAATGTTTTATTAACGTTATGAAAATATTGAAATTTATTTACTGTGTGGGAAACTTAGGTACGAACTGCTTACACTAATGATACGTAAAACGTGCATAGCACTTATAAAACCGTACAATTTTGCTGTCATATTAGCTTTAGTATAATAAACATTTATGATAACTGTTGCATTAATACAATGCTTCATTTTGCAGTCATTAATAGAGTCACTTATATGTTTTCTTTGCCTATTAAAAAGACCACTAGTACAGCTATATTAGTATGTCTATTTCCAATCACCTTAAGGCGAGTGTCATTAGTAATTGTTTTTTAACAAGACTCATGGGCCAAGTCTATAAAAACGGACATGATCCTGAGTCGATTACCGCGCAAATGTTGCCACGAGTAGGACATTAAGAACGACTTTTCAAATGTATAAATAAACTTTAATATTACAGTATAAAAAACGAATAAAAAAAAAGTACAAAAAATAAAATATAATACAAATGACAAACAAGTTCAATTGAATAGGAAAACAATAAGGACCAGAACTTAAAAAAACGCTTATTAAATTAAAGGACATTTATAATGGTGACCGTCCTTGCAGCAATACTCTCGACCAGCTGACAGATTAGTGTTGACCCATAAGTCGTTGCAGTTTTTCACAAAGAGATGGGCCTGAAATTATAATTTTTTATTATAAAAATAATAAGGTATTTTATTTTATAATAATGATTCAAATAATATTATATAACTCACTCTTTCTTTGTACACGTCGCGGTCGACCGAACCGCAAATGATAGCCGAGCTGTTAGGCAAGTACTTGGCAATCTTAAACGAAAAAAAGCAACATTAATTTATTTTCTATACAAACCAGTCGCTTACATTTAAATAATTTTGAAGTCAAAACATCCATAGCCTCCCTCGCGCTTATGATATTAAGTATCGCAAAACTTGGTAAACTGGTTGTAATATTTACAATAATAATTTGAAAATAATTTGGAACGCACATTTTATACTACAAGTGATCCATTTCATATAAGACACTCATTTCTTCTCAAAATAATTGCTATTTTAAGATTTCTTTTTAAAAGAAAGGTTTGTTACATAAAATTACTAAATATTTCCGTTTTTTACTTTTTTGGAAAGCTTTAGTAACTTTTGAAACTAAAATGATAACGTAACTGGTCGATAACCAGTTTTGGATAATTACTTTTTAAGTTAATAAAGCTTAAAATAATTTTCCAAAACTTCAAAAGGAAAAGTATATTATTTTTTCCAAAAAGTATAACATATAGAGCTTATAAAAAATATTTTAATAACAATTTTTCGTAAAATTAAAAAAAAAATATTATTATTTATTGTTTATTGTTATTTTTTAAAAAGTGGCTTCTTAAAAGAATTAAATTAAACTTTATGTAAAATATTACACTTTACAATAAATTAATAACTTTACGTTTCTGAATGTTTTACATTTACATTTTGCATCTATACATACTGTATTTATTTACAGGTTTACAAGGTTTTATTATTCAAATACTTTGAATTAAGGGGCTTGGTGCTTTAACCCGATTTCACAATTTTGACATTTATCAGGTCAAAACAAATAAAATTCTATATTTGCTAAAAATAATGGGATTTAACTGATTGCTGCAATTGGATATAGATAATTGTTTTGTACAGACGGGTATGCGTTTTCCCCAAACGTTATTTCATGAAAAAATATTTTTTAAAACATGGATTTTTCCGGTTGTCGTTATTACTTTCTCACTTAAAAATATTTTTTCAGATTTTCTGGAAAATTTCAGAGGAGGAGTGCATATTATATACTTACAATGTCCAAACATCTGTTGGTGCAGGTCTTGATGCCCAACGCGTTGCAAGTGGCCGGCTCGTCCTGTTCGTGCATCAAGGCCGCGTATCCGCTGGGCTGTTTTCCACTGCCCTTGGTGAACTGACTGCTGAGGAACACGCCGCAAGTGCATGGAGTTATGGTGGCCGTCACGGGAACCTGAGACGAAGGTGCTTGCAGAGACTGTGCGTTTTGCCCGTGGGACAACAGGTCGTTGAGCTTTCTCGAGGATTTCGTTTCCGGCAGGTCCAACGCCGTGCTGACAATTTGTTATTTATTTTTTATACATAAATGAAGATAAAAAAAAAAACTTATGGTAGATCCACGAGTGACTTATATAGGTACTCACCACATAACGAGCGATCCGACGGCGGCGACGACGACAGCTACTGGTAACGACATGGTGGTGTATAAAACGAAAACTTTAAAAAATTAAAAAAAAATTGCTCCGAATTCGACCGTGCGGTTAAGTATAAGACGGCGTCGGTACAATAAGTCGGTCCGGGTCGGGGCCACGGTATATATACGGGCCGGCCGAGACTTCCTCAAACTAGGTTGTTTAGTAAACACAACACACGTTGTGGAATCTGCGCCGTGTCGTCGGGATGGAAGCGAAGAGTAGCTGATGTTTTCCATTTTGCTAAGAAAACCGCACGTCGGGAAACACGTTCGTTGCACTCGTTTTGTAAACACTCGAAAAAACGGTAATAAGAAATACGAAAAAACTGTTCAACAACAATACTGCCGCGAACATCGGTCGTCTCCACAATATACCTACTATATATACTTGTATACTATAAACAATACTTCCATTATTAATCGACTTGTGTTATTTATTATTAAAATAATACAATGTAGTGTATATTTGTAACAACCTCACCGAGAAACGGACATCTCGAGCGATCTCGGTATAATTGCCGCCGAATAGAAAATGCATATGATTTAGATTTTAGAGTATGATAAACAAGAACTGTGCGTGCTACGAGGAAATATCCGATTACCGATCAACTGTAATTGATATTTACCCAGACTATGTACAAAGTTTAAATTTAATCAGGATTTGAAATGGGGCAGAACTTCTTTAAAATCTTAAATTTTAATAGTTATTCAAGAAAACGAACGGAAAGAGCTAAATTAGAATAAAAATGCGTTGTCACTTATCACGATATCTACCAAACCACCGATTTCAAAACATTGTACCTAATTTTCTAGAAAATTTGTTTGGTTTTAGTTTCAAAAAATTAACCAGAAAATTACTTCTATCAAATTTTTGTCATCTTAAAAATAAATTTCAAAATAATGTAACACATGTCTAATATGTTTATTTACTACAAATATTCTATACTTATACGGTATACTTCAATTGGATGAATTAGATGTAGAATTAAATAATTTATTAATAAGAATGATTATAATTTATAAAAAAATATATTAATTATAAAATTTTACAATATATTTTATATATCGTAACATAAAATGGTTAACCTCCTTCTTAAAGGAGGCAGCATTTGCCATAAATGGTTGTTAAACTAATAAACCAAATATGTATATGTTTTTAAATATACACATAATACTAGATTATTCTATAATTTAAATAAAAATGATATAATAAAAGAGATTGAGAGATTAAGACAAAATATAATGTTCATAGGAATTATGAGTAATGATTGCGGCTGCAGCGGGTAATAAAATATGAAGAGGACGACATGTGAAAGCTTAAAGATAGCTACAATAAAAATTAAAAACCTTTATTAGGTATCAATTTTAAAGTTTATATTTAAGTAAATTTTACATTTTTTATACTATTTTAATTAAATTTTTTTTTTACTAAATAATCTAACATAATTCAAATTTAAATTTAAACACAGCACATAACGGCAATAAGTTTATCATAGTTTAATTCAAGACTTATTCTTGTAGACAACATTGGCCGTTCCTTCCATAACTATTCTTTCGCCGACAGAACACCAAAAACCGCAAGTTATCAATTTTCTAATACTTTGAATTTCAACTTCGATTTTAACCTCGTCGTTGGCGTAACACGCGTTTGGAAACCTTAAGGTCTTAGATACTAGCAGCGTACCATATCCCGGTAATCGGGTTCCGATAACTCCAGACACTAAGCCCGCCAAATAAATACCATGGACTAAAGGACGTTCGCTAAAATGTACAGGGTTAATGTCCCCAGACAAACGAGCAAAATCTATAATGTCGGTTGTGGCAATTTTTTTTGTGATAACAACACGGTCGCCAACTTTTAAGATATTGGAAGAGAACATTCTACTTAAAACTAACATTATGATGGTAATAAGTGATATATTATTTATTATTTACTAGGTTTTCAGGTGGGCAAAGGTATGCTGTATGTGTTAGCTGTTTGTATATCTTTTTCAGTGCAAAAGTCTTCTAAAAATATTTTAGCCACATTTCTCAGTCTCGGATTTTCGCTTTGTGCATAATGCAAAACACAGCCAACAATTGATGGATTTATGATATCTGAAAAACGATACAACAAAATAATAATAAAAAAATATAATAAACTAATTCCTAGATATATTATTAAGATGTGATAATAATAAATTTTAATTAAGAAATACAAAGCTCAAAACAAAAGGTGGTGTGTTTTATTCAAGTACAACAATCAATAACAATCATTGGAAAAAAATTAGTTATTTATAAATACATTATTAGTAACTGTGTCAAATATATTTTTATTTAAAACAATTTAATATCAAATACAAAATTATTTCAATTTTCTTTAATTCTCTTTTTTATTAAAAAATGATTTGGAATAAAAATTTTAAAATTATTTAAATAATTTAAGTCTTATTTAAATTCGTTCAAAGAAAAATAATATACTTTTTTTTTATTTTAAATATTTATTTGAATTGTTACTTAATTAAATAATGACCAGGTTTACTTGAAATAAAATGTATATAATTTACAATTTGAAAAAAAAATGTATGGGATTTGTTGATTATGCCTCATAGTATTAGTAAGCCTATTTTCAACGCAACATTTTTTTTTATAACTATTATTAATATTAAAAACTCAATCAATATCTTCTAAAAATTAAATTGATGTACTTGAACATTTAAAGTTATTAAATGTATATTGAATAAAATTTAGATAATCTATAATAATTATAAAAAATGTTATTTGAAATAATAAAAAGAAGACAAACTGATAATAATTTTCATTTAAATAAAAAAAATATTAAATAAATTTTATCTTATTTCGTCAAATATGAAGGTGAGTGGTTTTAGATATTCTTCCTTCTAAAGAGCCAAACAATTTAAATCTATTTTTTGGTCAGTTTAGGATAAATTTGTTTCGAGCGGCCATCAAAGTAATAATATAAATACATATTTTTTCACTTATATTTCATAATAGTATACAACATTGTTAAAATAGGCAGATATTATTTTAATACATCAAAACATAAACGGCATTAAAAATACACTAACTGAATGTATCACAGAAATTTTAATCAATAAATTGAAACTATAGCAAAATGTTATGTAACATTATCTAAATATGTATCTAACATGAATTTTAAGATTGATGAATTAAAACTCATTTTAATGTTTCCACCAATTCGGTATAAAGGTTTTAAAACTGTATCCGCCGACTACTAAATTCTTGGCTTTTAAACACTCATCAATCCTCAAATTCGCTATGCCAACATTATCGCACAGCCCCCTTAATTTGCCCAATGGTCTCTTAGCATCAGGATTATCTTTATCGTAAATATCAGCATTCAACTCCAACGCCGAAGGTATTTCTTTATCAAATATGATTGGCATGATTCTTTTCCTTATCACGCCCGTATGATGTGTCCTGGCCGTTAGCTCTTGACCAATGTAGCAACCCTTATGAAAACTTATTCCGTTTAAATAATCACAGTTCATTTCCAATGGAAATGATTGGCTACTTAATAATTCTACACCTTCAGCTACTCCATTGGAATATCTCCATTTTTTATAAGAACATTTGTTTTCACCCTCGTCCAACACAATTTGTTCTTTTATGTGAGAAATGTTGTCAGATAATATTCTTTGACCTAAAATTGGCAAACGTGGATCGTCAAAAACACTTGTAGAATTATCCACCACGTTTACAGGCGATGGGCTAAATAAAACCCAAATACTGGCATCGTCGACAATATCAATTTCAATCTTTTTTCTTAACGCATAAGTTTTTAAATGTTTGCACAAACTACTTGCTGCCACTTTGTCACACTCGATTAGCAAGTGATCCTCAACTTTGTACAATAAACAGTCGTACATTACTCGGCCTTTGGAGTTCAACAAGGTTGTGTAAAGACACTTTTCCGTATTAAGACGAAATATATCATTGGTCATAAGTCTCTGGCAATAATCGAGGAGTCCTTGGCCTTTCATTTTTAATAAACATCGGTGACTAAGCAGTTCCAATTTGGGTTTGTATGACGACGTAGAAAAAAAACGCATATATTGAATTGGTACTCTCATCATTTAATCAACCTTAGGAAAAATAATTGACGTAAAAACTTTGATTTAAATAAGAAACAAAAAATGCCTTGTAGTATGCGGACTTTAATTAATTTTAAGTTTAAATTAAAGTTTTAACACACAAAACAAGACATTTTTAAACTCAAATTTGAAATAAATACATTGTTTTTTTTTTAAATAAAAAAACCAGCATACTACACAAATTGAACAATCGATGATTTCAAATTGAAATAAATTAAGTTCGAGTTAGTACAAATTAACACATATTAAAATGTTATTTATCAATTACTGTCATCATATATTGGATATAATTAAAAAATAAGTCTTAACACTAAGTTAACCTATTATGTCCTCGCGTACCCATATGGTACTATTGTTAACATTCTTGTTGCTATTGTTACTATTCTAACATTAAGTTAGAAAGAAGTCAATACTTAAAATAGGGTACAAAAAAAAAACTGAACGCATATGGGTTAAGTACGTAAAAAACATACAATTTAATAAGTATAACAATTAAAAATGTATTTGGATTATACTTAAATATCATAACAGACACATTTTCTTAAAAAGAAATTTAGTTTTTAATTTTTTCCTTTTAAAAAATGATTAATTTGAAAATGTAACAACCTAATATTAAGCATTTTGTAAAGGTTTCAAAATAAAACGTTTTCAATAAAACTACTTAGTTATTGCAGAGGTGTTTCAAATGAATTTATTTAAAGTCAATCACAATACTGTGGTATCAGATGTTTCAACATATTTTAAGTAAAATTTGTATGTAAGTAGTGCTCAAACGAAAATGTGTCTAGAAAGCAAATGTTATATAACATAGAGTGGGTTCAAAATGTACAGTAATCATTTTTCTAAAGATAATAAAAAGTATTTAAAAAAAAAACATTATTATGAATTGATTAAAATACTTATTATTAACAAAATTTTGATTTGCTCTAATAGATAAAAAATAAAACTGATTAAAGGCCGCATACAACATAGTCAAAATATTTATTTCACTTTGTTTATTATAATAAAGTCCATATTACCTGTCTTTATTTCCGGAGTGTACAAATACATAAGAGTCGTAACAACAGATAGTGTAATCTCTTCTTCACTTAGTCGCAAACACTGCTCGAGACGTTGAATACCTCCGTTTCCGATGATGTAGTCTTTGTTTGCCGGATCTTTAAACATAGACATAATATTAATAATTAATTAAAATCATCAAATTAATTACATCAAGTTGTTGTCGATGACCATACCGTTAGCTAAATTACACAGTCCAGCAGAGGCAAACCGTACTAAATCCTTTTCCGACGAATCTAGTTGTTCCAATAACAAATCAATAACCTTAGCTGACCGTATGTAAACGTAATTAACTGGATCGTAAGCAAAGTTGGCTAAGTTTGCCAACACTTGTCTCTTGGCCTCTAAAAAAAAAACATTTATGTAAAAAATAATATATAACCGCATACATTTTATTTGTTTTTAAAATATGATAAAATGTTAAAGTAAATTATATTCCAACAATTTTTTTCATTTTTTAGGTTTTGAACGTCGGAGAAATTTGAGTGATAGTGTTTTTTTTTTTAATAGTACTAACAATATAGTTTTACATATTACCTACATTATAACACCGACATCCACAGATAGAAACAATAATAAGGTCTCAACCCTTTTTGTAGCAATCAATAATTATTATTTACCAGACTTTTAGCTGACCCTAGCTAATTTTTTTGATTAATAAAGTTTTTTCTAATTTAATCTTTTTTTGTTAAATGAAATGTTGAATGGCCAGAACCCACCTTAACTGTTTGCGTTATAATAACGTTTGAAAAAAAAAAGTTTTAAAGCCATACAATTATAGATCAAAATTTTTAGATAAATTATCAAACACACATTTCGTTACAAGAAAAGTGTTACCCTTTTTTTGATTATTGTGGATATATTTAACACATTTTATCGGTAACGAGAAGTGTAGTCAAAGGCAATCGAATAATTAATAATACACTTATTTGGCAAAATGAAAAATATTTTTAAAAATTCGGACTCCAGCATACCAGCGCTGTGAGTTTTACGAAACTCCTGGACGAGCTGTTTGAGAAACTCGGGTCGGTTCACTCCATCGACCGGTGTGCGCTTGATCAACTCCTGCGGTTTGTGAAACATATAAAAACAATACTGGACGCAAAATACGAGACGAATAATTTCTTAAGTAACAGCTTTATGTGTAAACGGATGAACCGAAAGTCGAAACGGCAATATGAGATATCGTTTCAATTATTCAATCACACGATAATAAGAATCATCTGCTCGTTGTCTTATCACAGTGTTGGTATCACGCGACACCAATAGATACATAGATAGATGGCGCGACGGTCGTCCACCACTTCCGTTGCCGACGGCCAACCCGCATCGTCCATCGAAAGTTCACCGTTCATTTTCGCTACGCCGTCAGACGTGCGCACTCGCCGCACAAATTTCTAAACCGTTAAGAGTGGCACGGCTAATCCGTCTTTTCCCCTTTTTAAATATTACTTATTTTGTTTAAATCTTTATTTGTTTATTAAATCGCTTCATCTTTACGTGCTTCTTTCACACGATCGAGTGTTTTTTGTTTTAATATCATTTTTATCCATTGATTATTATGTTTTGAAATTTATTAGCATATCATATTATATTTAATTATTGTTTACTCATCCCCCTCCGATTGTCGTCGTCAAGGAGTTACTCACTAACCATCGCCATCGTCGTCGGATCGTACAGAACTGCTGCTAATGGACCCGGCAAAAACGCATCGCTACTGAGGTAGGTTTATTTTTTTTTTTTTGTAAACTGGGAAGTTCAAAGGTCGTTTTGGTATTAAAATTAACCACCGAGAACAATGATCTACTAGGCTGCCGTAAAAATGCTTAAAGGACTGAAAAAACCTGTTGCGACGATTTTGAATTATCTTAATTCGATTGCAATTGCTGTTATCGGCGACAATATTATTAGACATCCGGTGGTGGGCAGGCAAGGGTTGGTGGGCGACCGGACGGAATGGGTTATTTTTAGACGTGTCCGTACACGATCCAACCGGGTTTCACCCCTCAAGACGCCGGTGATTGTGTGTTAATATGGGCCACCGGACCGTAACTTCGGTTCGGGTAGCCGCCGCCGCGCCGGTGGACGCTTTTCGCAAAGGTCCGACACCCTCGTCGGCCACTGGCCACGACGGCCGTCGTCCGCGCGCACGTGTCCTCCGCCCGGTCGGTTCACCCTATGACGGTTTATTTTTAAACCGGCAACACTGCCAAAACGGAAGGCGACATTTTCGAAAATTTCTACAGCCAGCTAAACGTTTTTCTTTAAATCCAATCGACAATAATATAATATATTCATATATAAATGTAATGTATAATGGTAAATATTCCCTCAGTAACGTAATCAGAAATGATGGGGGGATTTGCAAGTGACGAAAAGTTACTGCCTCACTTGAAGAAGTAGGTACCTAATAGTTTTCATGATTGATTTAACAATTTGTCAACAAGTCTACTCTTGACACTAAACAGTCGCAATAACTTGGTATTTATTTTAGCAACGGTCAAACATGTACCTCGTCTGCTATTTAGGAAACCGTGGTAAATGTTATTATTATCGATGTCGTAATGGCATTCTTCCCTCGACTAGTTTTGTAATTACTATATTACATCCAAGCGAATTCGCACGCTAACGACAGTCATTATATTTTGTTTTCGGAATCGTGGACGCGCACATCCCTGGTAAACCCCCCAAGGTGGTCGACCACTTGGAAGTCGCCGGGGGCGATTCATTTAGCCCAAAACTGTGACGCGCTTGTGTCCCCAGCCCTTCGGTTCATTTCTGATGATAATTATCGCGCGTTATCGCTTTGTCCGCCTTACAGTTTACACAATAACGACAATGATAATGATTATCAATTAACGGCCTAATGACGGCCTGCGCATACCCTTAACGCGCGTGTAACGGTTTGGTGAAACGTTCACAGAAACGTGTCAGTTATCGCGCCGGACGACCTCTATCTCGTTCACTGCAATATTGCACACGAATCGGTTCTATTACTCCCCAAACGGGTAGATAAGATTACACTGTATCATATATAATATAACCTAATAAGGCGCTCGTCCGGGGGAAACGTGGCCTCAACAACGCACTTTGGACGTGTCCTTTCCGTCCATATTTTATAAAAAAAAAATCTAATATTTCTGTCCGAAACCGAACTTGTACCGTGTGACGTATTCGGTATTCAGTAACAGCAACGCCGTTATTCGTCGTGCGCCACATGAACTTGTTTTGATGGGCGGCTTGAAAGATTACCGAACGGCCGTTTTGTTCTGGTCACGGACAAACGCCCAACGAGGGGAGGGGTATAGCTCGCCCTTCCAAAATAAAAATACCCACACGTTCCAAATAAAAAACGGCCTTCTCTAGTAGGCACTTAGGCACAGTTTGCGATGTTATTCCGTTCGATCGACCCCGCACAACAATTTTTTGTTACATTTATTAGATTTTTGTTGTAAAAATTTTGATTTTCCATTAACAGTTTTTACCCGAACACAAGTGGTGCGATCGTCGTGCTGTTATCGCCTCTATGAGTATTTGATGTCTGTCTGTGTGTGTAATAGACTCAATAAAAAAAAAAATTATAATAATATTATATTATGCACTGCGTCGCCGCCATTCCCCGATAGGGCAGCGGCTGGTCAAAGTGCACGACTATTATTATTATTGTTAAATATTATTACTATTAGATATATATACGTTGTATGTATGGATGAGTATACTATAAATATACATATTACTAGATATATGCGTGAGACTTCTCTGTGTACGCACTGGTTGTGTGTTTTATATTATTATTATTATAGGGGAGAGGCTCATACGCGTTTTACCGCGTTGCCACATCGGCGTGCCCGGGCTAGCCTATTTACTATTGGACCTTGACGCTATTGCTATGTTCACAGTATTCTCGGTGTGCTTCAAAGCGACGTTCCGTGTGTGCCTGGAGCATCGCGTCACACTGTACAATGCGCCTTGCATACGCGCTGTGGGACGACGACAACGTTTTCACCGTCCCAAGTTTACTACACCCGCTTCGATCGCCCACCAAATAACAATAATGCGCACTGATAATCATTTCTGTTTCAAATAGTTTTTCAGGTATAACCCTTTTTGCCCATGTACTTACCTTCCCCTTGGGAGGTAGGGGCCTCTCCCTCCTACGGCCCCTCCTTAAACCGCTGACGTCCATCGGATCGTGACCGACAATATTACATACCGTAAAAGTCGACACGCCTCGGTTTTCAGAAATCACATACTTTTTGTGTAGTTACAGTGTAAAATTTGGGACTAACATTATAAGCTTCAAAATTATTTTTCTTGAGGAGAAAAATAGAGATGTCTAATATTACAAAATAGCTAATTTTTTTGATTATACAACCTTATAGTGTTCTACAATATATTATAGCTTTAAAGAAAATCGTAGATGTTACAATATAATAAACTGCAAAAATTACCGAACGAGTAAGTGAAGCACTTAATCATTTTTGTCAAATTGATAATATAGTGGTATATTTGCACTCTCTTTTTTGGCTCTCTAAGTGCATTTATACGAGTATCTTGTAAAATTATATGCTTGTCGTAAATTAGTATAAAACAGTATAACTCGGTTTGGAATAATTTTTTCACGGTTTGGAATAATTTTTTTTACCAAAATATTAAACGTCACGATTTATAATTTTCCATAATTTTACTATTAGGTAAATTATATTTCTAAAGCTATAAATCATCATTTTTCCCAACCTCCAAAAATGTTAAAACTCTTTAAGTATAGCTATAGCCTATACTTTGATTTAAACGTTTACATTCTAAAATGATAAATACTTGGATTGTAAATAAATAAAAATTAAATTACATTTGAAAAAACTATTTTAATAGTACTTTGTAAAAAAAAATCGGTCTTAAAGCAAAAATCAAAATTTACAAAATTTTAGGTTGGCCTTAGATATTTTGTCCTAAATTGTCTCGTTCTTCAGTGGCACCTCAAATAATATGGTTAATCGGGGGGTAAGCTGTGAACAGTGAATACTAAGTAATTATTAATGTATATTATATATTGAAGTTAATATAATATGTATCATATAAATATCAAAATCGCAACTACGTAGTAAAAATACCTGCTGGATATAACAGGAAAAATATTGATTTTTATTTCATTGATTTACAAACCTGTTTGCGAAATGCGCCGTTTTTTTACACAATTCGATTCCAGGTGTATAGAGTCCAAGCTATATGTACTGAACACTTTGGCACGTGACATGAAAAAAAATCATCATGTATTTACATATTTTTTTTTTTTATTATTTGACATTTTGCTGTCTGATCTAAATTTGAAAACGCCGTGTAATCAGTTATCAGTTATTCGAATTATTTTTAGAATACGGTTTAAAAAGCGCACGCACCTATGCTTTTCAAAATATGTTTTGTTGTTCCGTCTAACTAGTGGCAGTCTTCGGCACTTTGTCGCCATTTTTTTCTTCGAGACCGTATTGATATTTTGTATACACACTCAAGTCATCAAAATGTGTTGGAGTAAACAGTGACAAACAGGTGTGATGTTTTTCTAAAGATTTACTACTGTTATGTTTCGTATTGGATTTTTGAAGTTGCTATATCTTAAGTACGCGGTGCGTTTTATTCGTCCCTATTTATTTAAACGAAAACGTTTGTATTATTATTTGTTTTTTTTTTTTACAACAGACGTACAAAACAAAATATGTTCTGCAATCCACTCGATTTCGATAAACGCGCTACAGCCCAACGAAAATTTATAACTATTTTTTTTCTGGTCACAATAGATTCAAGGAGGAAAATAATTTTTTTTAAAGAGTGATACAAATATATATATTATATACTTCACGCCGTGTTGACTGCGGCTGTTAATTTCTAGTTAACACACTTACCGACTGTTAGCCGCATTTTTTCCCTCGAGTCGTGCTGCTATCATAATATTATAACCACTGCTAGTACTACTTGTACTTTATTCATGATTCAAGTTTTGATTTTGGCTTTTGTCCAAGTAAATGAAATCACCAGCTCTCTAATTTGAATTTGTGTAATTGTCGGTGGTATAAGAAAAAATAATAATAAAAACTCCCGCCCCGAAGTGTAGTGAACGATGGGAACCACAGGCCGTGTATAACGTGGGAACAGGTTTCTGGTGGCACCTGTTTGATGTACTGGAGGGGGTGGTGGTGGAAGCTATGCCGGACAAGGGTGGTTTTGTACTAGCGTGCGAGGTTAAAGACCCCCTTGGCTTGGACGTACACAATATGTAATAGGGTGCGCTGGCCCTCAACCAGCGGCCGCATATTGTTCCTGTATCGGAATCATCCCACCACCCGTTTCCATTGTTTAGGGTCATTTTACACCTGTTGTTTTCCCGTTTATATATTATGCATGTATTATAGTGCAACCCTAAACATCTTCCTGCTCGTGTTTGGGGGGATTTTTTTAACTGTTTCACATAGGTTGACCCTAACAGGAAACGACGCGTTCGGGGTGAATATTTTTAGCCGGTGTATGTGTGTATAATATATTTGTGTAAATCACTGGTGCTTAAAACATTTTTAATTTAACGCTTCGGAAACGCACTCCACATAAACACTTGCGTGTACAGGTAGTTGGCTACCAGGGGGAGTCGTTAATAGTTTCCCAAAAATCGCCGACTATCGTGTTCTGTTGGGATAACCTCAACGGGTATTTCACTAATTCATTCCAAACGGACA